TTCACCCCTCATCCTCCCTCACTCGCCCCATGCTGGATTCCCCCGAAGCGGATGGACCACACACATGCGTGGGGCCCACACCTCTCACCGGGCATCTAGAACAATTAGAAGTTCTTTTACACTGTCTGATTTTTAAAAAGTCAAAGTAGTTGTGAGGGAAAAAACCAATCAGAATCCCACGGAACGTCCCTATAGTTATTTTATGTTGTATGTTTTCGCAGGAGGAGAGGAGGTCACAATCTCTTCGGTGCTTCTTAATCTGGCCCATATTCACCACAAAAGCCACAGAATGATCCAGACAGCAAGAAGGGGAAAAGGTACTTCCTGCCATGCTGCATGTCCTTGCTGGGTGGAGCACTCTGACCCATGGGCTGCCTCAAATGCACAGTGTTTTCTACAGCTACTAATCTTTAAACGGCTCTCCTCCCCATTAGATGGTTGGCTGGGCCTTCAATTACACGAGGCTTCAGGATTTCCATTTCAAATCTTGGCTAAGCTGCTTCCTCTCCATCTTGACTACCATCTACTGAGTCCCAGGAAGGGCTTTTGCAAACGTATCCACAGTCAAGGTGACTGGGTGACTAAAGGGTTGGTGCTGGGTATTCAATGTCCTGGTTCAGAAGGGAATACCTGCCTCCCTTCAGACGTGTATCTTTCATCCATTTCCCCACTTGGAGAGTCACTGTGTTAACAAGTTGCTCCTTCAGAGGATAATCAGATTGACGCTTCACTACTTAAACTGCAAAACGTTAATTAGGGAGGGCAGAGAGAGTGTGGGAGTGGGCAGGTCTAGGGTAGGTGGGGCCCAAGTGGAGAGAGAAGGAAGTGGGAGGGAGGAGGTAGGAGGTGAGAGGATGCACACATGCTTGGGAGGACAGGAAAGGCGGGCCTCTGCAGTGCACTGACTTTCCAATACCATGGAGAACCTGCAGCACATCGTTAGATGACCCTAAAAGTATGACCCTGCTGTTAGGCTGCCTCAAGCTCCAGTGGGTCTTTATCGCCACTGAATGAGGTATGAGCTCCTCTGCAGGTGGCTCATCCTAGCCCAAGTCCCTACCCTACTCTGCATTGCAGTGGCGTTCGGGCCTGTAAGCCTTTGTATGGGGTCTTCCCTCTTCCTGGAAAGCATACTTCCTCCTCAAGTTAACTGGTCATGACTTGATTCTGCAGTCTTGCTTCTCCAAAGTCGCCTGGGACCAGTTTGGGGGAGGTTAAGAGAGCCCACAGCCCTCTGAAGATACCCTGCTAAAGCTCTTAGATTACCCATTCGTTTGGTTACCTGCCTGCCTCTCCCCAAAGACCCTGAGACATGATTTCCTGAGGATACTCACTGGGTTTCAGTTATGTCTGTGTCTCTCAATACCTGGCAAACAGTAGGTCCCCAGTTGATACTTGCATGACAAAGCAATTACGGGGACCAGTTTACAAAGGTGGTGATCCATCTTTGGTGGCTCAAAGATTACATGCTTGGCAATACCACAGAAGAGGGGAAACTATTTTTGCCAATTTTTCTCAGAAGGGCTCTTTATAACTATACATACCCCCTCAAATAAGAACCCCCAGATGAGAGATATCCCCTCTGTGAATAATATAAATGATACCATTAGTACATCTCAAATAATACCATCTGCCCATGCCCTAATCTCTAGGTATTTTCAAGATGTTCTAATGGCCAGAGCTCTTTCTGGTTCCGTCTTTGCAAATTGGTGGTCCTTAAAGTGTGTTTCCTGGACCAGGGGCATCGGCAGCACCTATAAACTTGTTAGAAAGAAAAATTCTCAAACCCCATCTCAGCCCCGTGAATCATAAGTTCCAGGAGTAAGGCCCAGGAATCTGTGTGTGAGCAAGCAATCCAGGTGATTATCATGTGCCCTAAATTTTGAAACCACTGTTTTAGACTTCAGTGGGACCACAGGTACAGTCTCATTATTTAAAGAACATATTAATGTGAGGATGATGAAATACAGATTCATAAGGATGTCCACCTTTCCACTGAGGCAGTATGGTCTAAGTTAACATTCTACAATAGTGGAAAAATTCTACATCTGTGCTGTTGACAGGGTAGCTACTAGGTACATGTGGCTTTCGGCATTTGAAATATGGCTACTGGGACTGGGTAGCTGAATTTTAAAGTTTATCTACTATAAATTTAAATTTAAATAGCCACTTGGGCCTAGTGGCTACCATACTAGACAGTATGATTCTAGAAGATGACTAAGTAATATAAAACTATATTCAACCCAGTTCCTAAAATCCCAGAAATAAAAATCTTTTAAAAAATACATTCTCTTAGATTCTGTCACCCTTAAAATGGAAGGTACCTATATTCATGGATTTGTTCATTCAATGAAGTATTTGCTACTTATCTCAAGTTGGTTCTATCAAATTAATGTTTGGAAACTTTTTTGAAGTAGTTTAAAGCATTATGTAAAGTAGTAGCATTCTTTCTGCATAATCTTGACAAGGCTTTAAGCATATGATCTGATCTGCTATAAATTCGGATGCTAGGCCAGGAAGTCATGTTGTTGCTGCTACAGGAAGGCCTGTACTATGTGCCCCATAATGCATCTTTAAGATTTAAAGAATAAGGATATACTGTAATAGAGGTCAAACTCAAAAGCTGCCAAGGGAATGTCTCTTTGTGGTTATACATGTCTTTCGGACTGCTCTGATTTATACCAGGTTCTGTTCGGGTAGATAAGGGGTCTCATTTTCCAAGACAAATATGTACTTTCATCCTGTTACCTAAACAAGGGACGAGCTGCCCTTTGCTGTCCATCATGAATGAGTTTGTACACAAAAAATTAAATTTGTATTATAGAAAGACTATAATCAACATTAAAAAAATTATCTTAAATATGACTATGAGCAGTTTAGCCAAATCCAGACTATCCCTAAACAAATAACGGCTCTTGCCTGAATGTGCACTCCTAAGTGAGGACTTCTGCAAAGCTTTTTCTCTAGCCTCTGGGGAGGCTACTCCAGCCTGCATATACCGGGACTTCTTCAGGAGGAAACCACCTGGGAGTATGATAGGGGCCTCTGACCTTCAGCAAGAACCTGGCCCTAGGACCCTGCATGGATTTGGACTGACCGGCCCATAAAAGTCTCCTGTCATACCAGTGCCTAGGGCTGTAATACTCGGCCCTGACTCTGGCCCTGTCTGGGACATCCCAGATAGAGGTGTCTTGTTCCTTTGTGCCAGGCTTGTGGAAGCTGAATAGGGTTCAGGCACTCCTGCCAGGACATAGAGTGTCTCCATCAGACAGGCAGGTGCCTCAGTGCAGGGACCCGAGTGCTCAAGTGGAGCTACACCCTTGAGCAAGGGGGACACTACCCATGCAGAGCCTAGGAAGTACCGGGTTTTCTTTCATGGCCTCCACCTCAAATGTCTACACAATCGCTATAAAGATTTTGAGGGGAATAAGAGGGAAGAGGACAGCTGGGTTGTGGGGGAAAAGGGGTTCGGGTCAAATCAAGTGAGCTCCAGGTGGAACTAAGGAGAAGGAACGTAAGCGGGTGTGGGGGGGTTGGTGGTCTGCAGGTATGCTCTGTAACTGTCAACTACAAACCAGAGTGAATACGCAGATGTCATCTAGCCCAGGGATGCCAAGTCCAGGCTTTAAACCCTCGCTTCCCTCACCCAATGCAAACCTCACAAATGGACCCCAGAACTCTTTCCCACCAGACCTGCAGGCTCCTAAGTCTTCAAAATAACAGCCAGAGGACAAGGCTGCATGGCTCAGTTTATAAACCAAACAAAATCTTCCCTTTCCTGATCTCTGCCAGTCCCTCCACTGTACGAAGGAGGATTCCTGAATGATAACAATAGCATACGGATCCCAAATTGAGCTCTCGCCATAGTCCAGCACTTTACAAATAACAACTCATTTCATCCTCACAATGACTCCATGAAGGGAGAAGATTATTAGCCCCATGCAGGAGGTGAGGAGACTGTGGCAGAAAGAGGCTGAGTTCAGCTGCGAAGGACGAGAAGCTCATAGGTGGTGGGTTGCGCTCTCCCCCACCAGTGTCCCTGCTTGCCCCAGCTTTGCTGACGCTGCCTCCCACGTGGATGAGGCTATGGTTTTAGGTTTATCAGAGAATACACAAGCACATAAGTTTTAGAATATTATACTTGCAGATTCATTAAAATCCGACCTTTACAGGATATTAAAACCATTCTAAGAGACAATCATGGTGAAGGTGTAATCGCATTTGTAAGCTTGCCAAATCGGAGTGTAAGAGCTTTTATGAAAAGTTTCAGAAATGTGGCTTAAAGGGTAACCGTTTATGGTCAACTGCCTTTTGATCTCTCATGTGAAAAATATGTACTTACATATATTGTAGGAAACCTCACCACTTCCTTCCTAAGTGTCGGTCAAAAAACACTAATTACTTGACTAATTAGACTGTGAAACTTCCCTTATAGATGGTAAAAATGAGCTATTTTCACCCCACAAATTTAGATGTGACATACCACCAAGAAATGTAGAAATCGTTCAATGGTTTTATTGTAGACAGCATGAACAATTTAAGCAAATCATGTAAAAATAAATGAGAAACTCATGAAAATAATCAGCCCTTTCATAAGAGGGGAACATGACCCAGTTCTAGAAGACTCCAGAGCTAGCCAAAGAGGCCAGGTCCAGATGCCTTCTCCCTACCCCATGAATTGGTTAGTCCTAGCTTGGTCTGTGATTTTCATGGTGGCTTCAGGCACTTTCTTTTATCCACCTGTAGTCACAGGCGGGCAGCACTGCTTCGTTTTCTCCCAGGCGTTCCCCACAAGGGAAAGTATATGTCATGTCCACCCGCCAGCCAGGATGACACAGTCTCCCTTTACTCTGTGTTCGCAGAATTTCAGTCTGCCACATCAGCACATTTGCCAAAAGAATCAGTGTGGGATGAAATGGAATTGAACCAAGTGCTACAGCTCGAGAAGGAAATGCCTCCTTGACCAGAGTGTGCTCATGTGCTTATCGCGGGACACTTACCAGCATCGAGGCTGCCTGTGGCCGCTGTCCAGCCCATGACAGGCGGGATGGCTCCAACCACGGCTCCGACCCATGTGTTAGCAATGCTGATCCTCTTCAGTGGTGTGTAGCAGCAGGTATACAGGAAAATGTTGAAGAGCCCCAGGGCTCCTGTGAGTGGATTCACCCCCCAGGTCAGAATGGCAACTCCGGGAACAGCACAGCAAGTGGCAAAAGACACAGCTAACAATGGGCTGGAAAAGAACAGAGAACATGGAGTGACCATCTTCACCTTAACTCAATCACACCACCTAGAATGGGCACTGACAAAGTGCAAATAATCCACCTGGCCAGTAGGGGCAGTCAGTACTGGTCTGGCTTCTTCCTGGATATGGGGAATCCTCTCTATGAAACAAACTTGAATATGTTTGTGGGAGCTCTGACTGCTCTTGATTTTGCTAGCGGACAGTAAAGTGGTGAAGAGAGTCAGGGTTACAGTGTTCTGGATTCACACTGGTTCTGTCCCTTCCTGGCTATAGGATGGCTAGGTTTCACTTACTCCTCTCTACAAGAGAAATGATCATCTCTTTCTCTTAGGGTTGAAGTGAAGACTGAGAAAATGCCTCCTCTGCATAGTGTTCCATTTTCTATTTAGTCATGAACAAACCACTTACAACACAATATTGGAAGATTTGGGCAGAAAATAGCACCTGAATTCTGGAAGCAGTTCTCCCCCCTTATTTATACTTTATTGAAACGTCACTGAATTCATGATAATGAGTAGCAATGGTGTGCCTTCCCATTGCCATCATTATCATGTTTTAAGGAACTACAGGCTCAGCATGCTACCAGTTCCCAACAACAGCAAACACCAGGTGGCCGTTGTACAGTGCCAGTGTCGTAACTTGACTTATGGACACAGAATTTTCAAGGGGAGGTCACACAATGTTATTTATGTAAATGAAGCCCACCAACTAAAACTCTACAATGATAATCATTGTCACAAGTCTGTTTCTCCAAAGAGCCTAATTCTAAAAGTAGACTTTGTATGGAATCTGGTGAAAGACGTTTTGAGAGTCTAGATAAATTGGATCTACTAGTTCCTGCTTATATGCATGTTTGTTTATTCTTTCTTGAGAAACCTAAGGAGGTTACTCAAGCCTGCCCTCTCCTTGCAGAAGGCATAATTCCACTTGTGAGTAAGCTATGTTTGTGTAGTGTTCAGTGACCCTGCCCGATTAAAGACTCCACAACGTGCTTCTTGGGAAGCAAGAGCCACCAGTGTGCAGCTTCTAGGGTGCTCTGGTTTTAAAAACAGCCAACTCCCTGAAGAGGCAGTCTTTACCCGACGTGCACACATGTGAGATGATACCCTTCTATGCACAGGGCTGCAGTGTTCCCATGGCAGGAGAGAAGCCCTGGGTCTATGAGATGGCCCCTCTAGGAAAAAGACTAACTTGTAGAATTCAGCCGGGAGGGGGCCAGGGCAGAGCCCAGCAGCTGGAACTACAGTACTGAGTGAAGTCAGGGTGAGTGAAGTCAGGGCAACAGAATATGAATGCTAGAAGTGACTTGATGGAGAATTCTGGCTACCACCCTACCATTCCGCTATGGGGACCAGCACTGACTCTTTCCTCCCAGGCCTGTGGCCACTGTGCCCAAAGAGTGACCCAACTGAATGGGAATTTTGATGGAAAATGAGAAAATACAAGGCATATGTTGCTGTCAAGGTGCTTGTGACAGAAGAACCATAAACTACAGCTGAGAGACTTCCGAGTGCACATTCTGCCCTGAGGGTGCATTTCCACCCACCTGGACCTGGGCCATCTCTTTTGAACCCTGTGGTTAGTTACTTCCACAACACTCACTCAAGCACCATTAATAATTCATTCTGCCTTGTCCATCCAACATTCCCACCCTGGATCTGCTCAAAAACCTAGTCTCTGCTCCTGCTGGGAAAGCCCTACACTCATACTAACTGACCGCATTTCAAGGAGATGGCTTAACAGTGCTGGGGCTTAGACAGGGTTGATTTCCATTTTCATTCCTTATAGTGACAATTTTAACTCCTATCCTGACTTCTCAAGGCTCCAGCTTCACTCTAACTCCCAATACACCTTAACAGATGCCCTGCTCTCTTACACAATAGTGACAAACACCCTCAGATTTACTTTCTTTTTCCCATTTCTGAAGAGGCTATCTTCATCTCTTTTAAAGATAAACCCTCCACTTTTGTTTTTATTTAATCTCCTCCCTAATCTGTCTTTTATCTCCTATCTCTACTGTCTATTAACCTCCTGCATCAAATAAATTACTTTCTTTGTATTTACCCCAAGGCAATACCCGTCTTGCTTCCTTGACACTCTTCAAAGCCAAGCATCCTGATGGAGTGGACCACACACATTCCTTCTCTATCTCTCCCTTCCCTCGGTTTCCTATTTGTTCCTCAACTGTATCTCTCACCAGCTGCTGCAACAGATTTCTCTAAGGGGGCTTCAAAAAGTTCATGGAGAATGCACATTGTGAAAAGACTATACATAGACTTAACCATTTTTTTACATCAAAATAAACTCATACTAATTTATTATAACATGTCTGAACAGGATCTAGAAAATAGCCCTTATCAAAACAACATGAATTCTGCTAAAACAGAATCAAGAACAAATATCACATCTCGGCTAACGCTTGGATGGAAGAATAGTGAAATCACTGATGCTTTACAAGAAGTTTATGGGGACAATGCCCCCCCAAATCAGCAGTTTACAAATGGTTAACTTTTTTAAGAACAGATGATGTTGAAGACTAAAGTCAACCGCTGCAGACCATCCATATCAATTTATGAGGAGAAAAATCAATCTTTTTCGTGCCCTAATTTAAGTGGACCAACGGTTAACAGTAGAAAGAAACAACAACCAAACCAATACCATAGACAACTCAGTTGGTTTAGTTCTCACAATTCTGATTGAAAAATTACAGTTCGGCTAACTTTCCACTCAGTGAGTGCCAAAACCGTTGTACCCAGATTGGCCGCAGACAAGAGCAGGGCTTTCAACGGAAAATGTAAACAAATGGAATCAAGATCCTGAAGCATTTCTTCGAAAAGGAAGATGAAAATGAATATGTAGCAGGAGGTGAAACATGGCTTTACCACTACAATCCTGAAAACAAAGACAATCAAAACAATGGCTACCAAGGGTGGGAGTGGTCCAGTCAAAGAAAAAGTGAACAGATGAAGAGCAAAGCTCATCCAATAGTTTCTTGGGATGCTGAAGGCATTTTGCTTGATTCCTTTCCAGAGGGCTAAAGAACAATAACATCTACTTATTATGAGGCTGTTTGTAAAAAAAAAAAAAAGCAGAGCTTTAGCAGAAAATGACTGGGAAAGCTTCCCCAGAGTCCTTCTCTATCACAAAAATGCTCCTGCTCATTCTTCCCATCAAACACTGGCAACCTTGTGCGCATTTTGATGGGAAATCATTAGGCATCCACTTCAAAGTCCTGATTTGGCTCCTTTTGACTTTTTTTTGCTTCCTAATCTTAAGTCTTTAAAGGGCATCCATTTCTCTTCAGTTAATAATGTAAAAAAGAAGGCTGTGACATGTTAAATTCCCAGGACTGTCACTTCCTTACAGATAGACTACATTGCTGGTATCATTGCTTATGAAAGTGTCTTGACCTTGATGAAGATTAGGTTGAGAAATAAGTTTTACATTTTTATCTTTTGATTCTGTTTTTTTCCATAAACTTTTTGAAGTTCCCTCATATATCATATGTCCTGGGACCATCTACCTTCCCAATATGGCACACAATATGATTTTCCAGATGAAAGATTACAAAGATACCTCTGTGTTGTTACGCCTTCCACATACCCAGAAAGGAAACTTCAGATGGCTAAAAAGCAGTATACATATTATAACGTTATTCTTCTTCCAATAAGGTAATTTATAGCTTATAAGAACGGATTTTTTTTTTTTTTCTATGACACTCTAAAAAACCAGCTTTAGTTTGGGTGGGAGAAAAATGTGGCTGATAAACATTTTTATTTTCCCTGAATTGGCCCTTGTGTTAAAAAAAAAGAAGGTTGTTCATTCCTTCTCCAAGTTCTGCAGAAGCCAGTTGGATTCAAAGGTATTAGTGTTATAAAAAGCCCTTTTAGAAAAGCACACATGAATTTAATTTATTGAGATAGGCAATTTTATGTGGAAGTTTAGTTTCTGACCTTTGTTGAAATCACAGAAAATCTTGAGGCTCAATTCTGGTGTTTAAATAAATGTGCACAAGGGCATGAATGAAAACTGGGTAAGTTGACAAACCATGCAAACAAAAATGAAGCTGTTTACCCAGGATGCCATGATCACTCTCAGCATCCAGGTACCTGAAGGAACACATCTCCTTCTGGCACGAGAGCACTGAATCACTGGACTTCGGAGCTTTCTTGTGTTATGGGCAAAGGTACTCCAAATGCATACTGTGTGAAATTTATTTTCCTGTTATGTTTCATATTTCCTAAAACACGTGTAACAAAAGTAATATACACATACAGTTCAGAAAATTGGCAACTCCAGAAAATCACAAAGAACAAATTCCTCATGACTTATTCAGAGAAACATACTAGTTGATATCATCCCAGCCTTTGTCTAATGATGTAGCTATTTAAAAAAATTGAGGATATGCTAAATTGTGGTTTTATTCCCCGCTTTATTTCAATATATCTTAATAATTTCCCTAGGCTATTAAATATATTTGTTACATCATCATCATTAATACTTATAATACAGAGTAGCTTATTCTTTGGATATACCACAATTAATTCAACCAATATACTTTTAAAAAGACATTCAGTATTTTTCCATTTTTAAAAATCAGAACGCATGTTGGGATGAATATCTATGGGTAGACTTTTGTTCACAGCTCCACTTGGGAGAAATTCTGAAGATAAATTCCTAGATGTGAAAATGCTCAGTCACATGATATGCACATTTTAGGGATTTTGTCATGTATTGCCAGGCTGTACTCCAGAGAGTTTGCACCAGTTTACAGTTCCACCAGCAGTATATGAGAGCACCTTCTTCTAGAATCTGTATCAACACTGGGTGTGGCATTAAAAACAAAGCAAAACAAAAACAAAATGTGCCAATAGGACAGATTAAAAAACAGTATTGAGTTTCTTTAAAAAAAAAAACCCTTAAAATTAACAAATCAAACATTCTATTGAGATAGCATTATCTCATTTTAGCAATGAGAAACTGAGACT